CCTTGACAGTATACTTGTTTCAGTGCTGTTCTCTCTGAACATCCCACCCTCTCCTTCTCCCACAGAGTCTAAAAGTCTGTTCTGTATATCTGTGTCTCTTTTTCTGTAGGTATGCTTTTTATTTTAATTTTTTTCTCCTATAATCATGCCTACATTTTAATAATTAAATCTATGGCACTTGCTAAAATAGCTTCTGGAAAAGTTTAATGTGCTACATGCTGGTAAAAAGAGGCATATCATTTGCTGATGTCGTTTAGCAGCCACTAGGTACGCAAGAGATAGAAAAAAAAGTAACCTGAGATATGTACTAATAATGGATTTGATTATACTAGCTGGGTTTTTTTTTCAGTATCATTTAAAAAGTTTTTGTTGTTCTATTTTTATTCAGATGACAGAAAGTAATTTTTCGTTGAAGAAGATAGAAATTAGTGTTTCAGAAGCAGAAAAGCGAACTGGAAGAAATGCCATGAACATGCAGGAAACATATACTGCTTACCTCATTGAAACAAGGTGAGTGATGAGAATTATGTCTGAAGTTAGAAAAAGCTTTGGTAGCTGTTGATGCAAATTCTGTTGTATAGTGGAATCATTTACAAGTCATTGTCTTTTTGTTTCTTTACTTTTTAACAGGTGACCGGGTTTTCTTTTACCCTGGTACTCTAGCTAAATTTGAATGTATTTGTTTTGGAGGGAGAACGAAGGTTACTGGATGTTACTTGGTGCTTGCTTTAGTGTCAAGTAACATCCAGATCCCATCCACATCACAGGCCTGCCCATGCGGGATACACGGGTTCATCCCTGTTTGGGAAGACCCCACGTGCCTCAGAGTAACTAAGCTCATGTGCCACAACTACTGAGTCTGTGCTCGAGAGCTCGGGAGCCATGACTTCTGAGGCCACGCGCCACAACTACTGAGGCCCGCCCCCTAGAGCCTGTGCTCCACGGCAAGAGAAGCCACTGCGCACCGCAGCTAGAGGAAAGCCCACGCAGCAGGGAGGACTCCGCACAGCCATAAGTAAGGTTATTTACTTCAGAAACTCACCAGAAAAGTCTTTTACTTCATAAGCAAAAAGTTAAATGAGTTAAACTGTTTTGTCCAGAGAAAAGCAAAGGGTGTGTGTGTGTGTGTGCAGTCATGTCTGACTCTTTGTGACCCACCAGGCTTCTCTGTCCATGGGATTCCCAGGCAAGAATACTGGAGTGGGTTGCCATTTCCTTCTCCAGGGCCTCTTCCTGACCTAGGGATCGGACCCACATTTCCTGCATTGGCAGGTGGATTCTTTACCACTGTACCACCTGGGAATTTTGCTTATTATAAATAGTTTATATCAAGACTACACCGACAAGCTCTTTTCTGTGTGTGAGCTGAGAAGAAATACTTTCAGTTAAAACAAGTAGGGGGGGCTTTCCTGGTAGTCCATTAAGACTCCATGCTTCCAGTGCAGCGTGTGCAGGTTTGATCCCTGGTTGGGGAAATTAGATCCCACATGCTGTGCAGTGTGGCCAAAATATTTAAAAAAAATTAATAAAAAAGTATAGTCCATATTTTTTAAAGAAAAGTAGAGGGACTTGCCTGGTGGATCAGGGAAGTATCCTGCCTGTGTACATACATGCATATGTATCAGAGACTTTTAAGTCAATTTTTAAAAAGTATGGTCCCATGAGAGGTTTTTTTTTTTTTTTTTTTAGTTTAATTAGCCATTTTAAAATATCATACTTTAGAAATTTGTATTGGCTCTAGCTTTTTAAGTAAATTCTTAAATTTAAAACTAAAAAGGATATTTTTAGTATATGCCTGTTTCCTCATCCAGTTCAACAATGAAATTAGCTGTTGAATAACTTTACTGCTAGAAGAACCGCTTGATTTCAATAATCTGGAATAATTTATAGCTGTTTACTCTATTTATTATAGTTGTTTACTCTTGACTTTGAAATGAATAGAGAATTATAATTCAAAAGTTGGAGTTAGAAGTGACCATACATGAGTAATATAGCTAGCCTCTGGATAAATATCTAGGAACATCAGTGAATAATGTGGTACACAAAAGGATATTGAGTTGACTGTCACACTTATATTTCATTTATTTTAAAACAGTGATTCTTAAACTTTAAAATATATAGGAATCAGCTGAAAAATTTGTTAAGCTACAGAATTTTGAGTGGGGTCCAGGAATTAACACATTTTAAGCTTAAGTTCCAGGTGTTTTTGAAGCAAATAAGCCATGGACCATAGTTTTATCTTTCAAATACAAAAGCTTTACATTTTAAGATAGTCAAATTTATCTTTTTTCTTTATAAGTTGTGTTTTCCCTGTCTTAAATTCTTGCCTATCCCATATCATATGCACATCCACTTTGAAAATTACTGTTTATAGATAGTTTATAAATAATTTTGTCAGCACTGTAACTGACCTTCAGCAGCCACAGAACCCTGGAATTTATTATTTTGGTCATGTAGAATTCTTGCTGTAATTCAGTGTTATGCAGAGTATCTTCGACACTATAAATATTGTTGAGCCTTGACATTGACTAAAAGTTCAACTTTATCACATAGCTCATCAACCTACTCTGTGGACACATGAAGAAAGTCAGTTTAGCAGTTGCCTATCGTGTTACAGTTTAATAGGCTAAGGGTTAATAAGGCTAAGGTCATTGATTTTAATTTCTCCAGGGATTTTTATGTTTTGCTGTTCATTAAGTATGAACCCTTTTAAAATAGGTAAGAACACTGTGTGTATTAACAGGTAAGATGCCTCTTTTGTCTTGGGAAGCTGTATGATGTCTTTCCTGAATTCTTCTAATTTGTAAAGCAGGGCTAAAGATCCTGTATACTTTGTCATATTAAATGGTTTAAACGGTTACATTTAATTTAAATATTGCATGTGAAACCAATTATGTGCTGTTAAACATTTATTAAATAATTGGATAAATGGGGTAGTTTTGTGGTCCAAAGAAAGTCTTCTCTATGCTTTTAGGTGGCTTCCGCTGACTTCTTTTTGTGGGCTTTGAAATAAAACAAAGCAAAAACAACTTGTAACAGCTCTTCTAACAGCCTTTAGGTGTACTGCCTATAGGCTATATTTATCTACTTTTTAGCAAGATTTGGGCTCTGTTGGTAATAATTTTGAATAATTTGAAACTTGATATTAACCCAAGATATGTTTTTTTAGCTGAAGTCGAAAATCTGAATTAGAACAGTTTTAGTCAGCTAATGGTTAGGTCAACTCTTTAAAATGAATTATCATTTAATAATCCTGTATCTTGCCATGAAAACCATTTGTATATTTTGAATTTCATATTGTTTCCCTTTTAAATTAATATACAGTGAATTAATTTAGAAAACGATATATAAATAATAAAAACAATGAACATCTTGTGTTGAGCATGGTGTGGTGTATCCATTTTCTCGAGACTTTATTCTGAGACTGATTTAGCCTCTCTGCCTTTATACTGTACTTGCACAAATGCACATTTTGGTTATATGCATGTTTCTTGGAGGATCTGTAAGTTATTTTCTATTAGGAAATGGGAAGGTTCCAATAATGTTTAGAAGGCTGATGTTTTCTAATAGTCATTATGCTAGCAGAAATGATAAATAGTCAAAATAATTTCAAATATTATTTTTATGATTTTACCCAGCTTTCCCCCAAATTGAACTTTTATATGGATGACTCATGGCATTACCTGCAGCTCTTTATATTAAATATAAGACTAGAATTAATTTGTTACATCCCTTCTTGCCACTCTTTGACAGTTTACTTTTGTGGATCTTTTCTGGCACTTGGATGCATCTGATTTTTTGATGATGTTAAATTGAGGATTTTTTTGGTGTCATGGTCTTTGGCATGAATGTTGTTCTGTCATTGTGGCAGGAGTTGTTCTTTCATTGTGAGAGTTAAAAGTACTTTTTTCTTTAATGAAACACTGGTGAAGCCAGACTCTTACTATATTATAAAGCCAGCCATTATGTTAACTGAATTATCTTATATTGAGGCTTTTGTTGAGAAGAATATTCCTAATATGACTATTTCTCTCAAGTTCAAATAGGTTTTCTATAATGGAGGAAAGTGGTTAGGAGTGAGGGCTTGGGAATCAGATGGATCTGAGTGCTCTACCCACAAATCTTTGTGATTGAAGGAAGAGCATATACCATGCAGCTGCTTTCTCATCTGTGAAATGGGGACAGTAATCCCTGCTTCACCAGGTTTGTTGTAGGAATTAAATAATACATGAAAAGTTCTCAGTGCCTGGTTCATAGCCCTCCTGGTTCATAAGCATTCAGTAAATGGAGTTACCAGTTTTAAAAGGAGGTCGTATGCATGCATTTGTATTTTTAAAAAACACTAGAAATCTTATTCTGTCTTTTTCAGGTCAGTTGAACATAGTGATGGTCAGAGTGTCCTAACAGACTCACTGTGGAGGCGGTGTAGTGCATTTGAGTGGTTGAGAAACTACCTTTTAGTTTACTATCCACATATTGTTGTGCCACCTCTACCAGAAAAAAGGGTAAGGAGTGAAGTGGTGGTGTAGTTTAGAAGTAGTTAGCATTGAGACTATTCTTCATGATTGTTTTGTTTATCTAGGCAGAATTCGTTTGGCATAAACTCTCTGCTGACAACATGGACCCGGATTTTGTGGAAGGACGACGAATTGGTTTAGAAAATTTCCTCTTGAGACTTGCTTCACATCCCATCCTTTGTAGAGACAAAATCTTCTATTTGTTTTTAACACAGGTATTTTTCTTTTATTTAGTCTTTTAAAAAATTTCATTTGACTTGGGATTTTTAAAATTTTAAATTGTGGAGTGCTTCTTCTTAAGGATTCTCTTGGAGCTGCCCTTTGTTAATTTATATGTATTTCATGGTTTGTTTTGAATTTCCAAAGTATTACATCATTCTTCTGGCTAACATTTTTATACTTAAAGATACTAAAGATTGTACTTTTTGGTATCACTTAAATGGTATTAAAGTTAGTCTTTAGTGTTTTGAATCCCAGATCTAGAAAATCTTGGGGCTGTCTCTGGTAATCTTTTGGAATCTGGATTGTATGTGTAATTTTGCAGTGAAAAGAATTCTTTTTTAACCCCTCTTCCCCCATCTCCCATGAGGGAAGAACAGAATGATGGGTATTTTATTTGGGATATTACTTATGGGCTATTTTACAGTGATATCTAAAGTTACCTTTAATTTTTAGGAAGGCAACTGGAAAGAGACAGTAAATGAAACTGGATTTCAGCTGAAGGTAAGGGTAATTGTATGAAATAATTTGTCATGTCTGTTAACAATTTCTAGCCCAGTGCCATGCGTTAATGGGTACCTGCTGTTTATTGGAAGTGAATGTTGTATGAGTGAATATTGGAAATAGGCTTTACAGCTAATATCACTGGTAAAGTTTTTAAAGAAACAATGCAGTTTATTTTTGATTGGTGTAATTTTTGTTACTAGTGAGACTATAATGGACATATTTATGTATGAATTTAATTCTCTTGGGAAAGAACATTTTGAAACAATAATTTAGGTGTAAGTTAGATTTTTCCCACAGTATGGTCATATTATGCTTTTTATGTTTTTTTCTTTCTTCTGTCCTTATCACGGTCACTGTCAGTGGTGTCCGCATAATTGCTCACTCTGTTAGATAGAAAAGACACTTCTAAAGGGTTGAACTTGGGTTTTCCTATCTTAGTAGGCTAAAAGAGTAGTCATCAGTCACGCTTATTTTGTATACTGAGACAAGGTGGCCAGTTTTGAGTGGGCATAGGATTCATTTTGTATCAGTGATATAGGTTTAATTAGATTTTGATTGCTTATCATATTTGACCATTAGAAGTTAGTGTTTGGGAATGGAACTGTTTCCTAAAAATTAAGGAGCGTGTCAGTCATAAGGTGACTGCCCTCACTCTGCTCTGCTCTCCCCTCCCTCTTGTTTCCAAAAGTAATTTAACATTGCAGATTTTTAAGTTTTCATCTCTTATGTAAACAGAATTAGGTAAGAAGAAAAAGTAATATAAATTGATATATAAGTTGATAAACAGTTCATATGATATTGCAATAACAGAAGTTCAGTAGATTTAGGCAGCAAGAACAGAATGTCTTTACAGTAATTTTAAGAACTAGAGATTAATGCATTGGCATATAGGTGTTTTAATTTTAACACAAAAAGACAGCAGAAAATGTTTTTTTCTTCACAGAAAATGTAATTAAGTGTCTAATATTTTCATAAACCAATTTTAACTTACTGGTTCAACTTATGAGTTATCTGAAACTCCAGATAACATGAAAATTAGTATTTTCTTAGCTATAACTCACTGTGGTGCTCAAAAAGAGAATAATGGAATTTTAAAGATGATTTGAAATAACTGTGACTTTAAAAAATTGTTTATATTTTGATAGAATTTTATGAGAACTAGTCCATGATTTCTTAGGAGCTAATATTAAAGAAAAGAACAAACTGAAATATTTTTTTGGGTAATGTCTCTTTATATAATAGAAAATTTAAAAACTTTTAGTCATTGTTTTAGTCATTATTTTAGTAACTGGTTCTCAGTTGTTTTTCCTTAGCGCAGTTTTTGTGGGTAACTGGGTGGCCTTGAGAAAATTCATGAATTTCCTCATCCATTTAGACTCTTCTGTTTACAGAGTGCTTTGAATCTTGTGTGTCAATGCTACCTAAGTGTTTAGATACGATGTTTTATATTTGGGTAGCCTTATGGTAAAATCCTAGTTTCACTTTTATAAAATCTTTGAAAGGTAATACTCTGTACACAGTATTAGTAATTTGAAAAATAGAAATTGAAATGGACTAGACATAAAATGTATAGGGAAAATTTGGAAAAACTTGCAAGGAAATGGAACCTTTTTGACTAACACATGCATGTACATTCATGCATACATTTAAGCATGTACATGCATCTCTGTATGTCTATATATATAGAGACAGGCTTCCCTGGTGGCTCAGAGGTTGAAGTGTCAACCCTTCCAGGGTTGGGAAGATCCCCTGGAGAAGTAAATGGCAACCCACTCCAATATTCTTGCCTGGAGAATCCCAGGGACAGAGGAGCCTGGTGGGCTACAGTCCATGGGGTCGCAAAGAGTTGGACATGACTAAGCGACTTAACACTGTCACTATATTTGAAACATTATATTGATAAAACCTGTTAGTCTCTGACTTCAGGGCTGTCTGTATGTTGTTCTTTCTGCTTTTTCCAGCTTGGAGATTGGAAGCAAAGTACACATTGAGTGTGTGTTATCATGATCTGTCATTAGATTGTATATTACCTTTAAATTCTGTGACGTTTCCATACCTGCATATTTTATCTCCTTAGTAAGATTGTAAAATTTCTTAATGTCAGGACTTTGTCTTCTGTTTTTGTGGTATCTCCTACAGGGCCAAACAGAATTCTCTGGGAGATATTCCAGTTTAGAAAAGTGAATCATTTTCCTGCCACTTTTAACATCATTGTAAGAATTCTGTTAATAAAACAGAAGAACAATATTCCTTTGGCTGTTCAGTAGCTGGGATGAAAACATCACATTGTTAGCCTTTTTCCTTCTAGAGCTTTGAGTAGTAGAGGTCACACCAGGCTTTTACCAAAGGAAGGTTGCTCAACACAATGGAATTCTTTGCAACTCTTAAAGATTATAGAAAAGATGAATGTATATTGATAAAGAAATGTGTCCTTGGTATATAGTTCAGAAATGCCTAGTTAAAGTCTAGAACAATATATACCACCTATTAATATGAATTGTGTCTGGATAGTAGAACTAGGGAGAAGAAAGTGTTCTTGAAACTTATTTAGTACATTCCTGTATTAGAATCTTTTTTTTTTTTTAGTGAGCATGGATTACTTTTATGATAATGAAAACTAATAGACATTTCTCAATAGAAAACTTTGAGATAATCTTTTTAAACAATATTCAGTTGTTATGTGAGATGATAGCATTAGTTCCAGTGCTGTACAAAAAAAGCTTTTTTAAAAAATGTATGTGATAAAAATTTAATTTAGCAGAACCTAAGCATAAAAACTTTATAAATCAAAAAAGGTTGTTTTCCATCTGGGCTACTACATTTTAATGTTGGGCTACTACATTTTAAGCTTAAAAATTCTATATATAAAACTTCTGATCATAGTACGTGAATGCCTCCACTTTACTCCCTGGGGAAAAATTTAACATGTTAATAATTAGAGAGGCCACAAAAATTAAATGGCAAAAATTAAATTTTTTTCCTAGGGCTGTGTGCAGGAAACATGAACTTATGCAGTATGACTTAGAGATGGCTGCTCAGGACCTAGCATCCAAGAAGCAGCAGTGTGAGGAACTGGCAACTGGGGGTGAGCTATTTTCCATTTGGGTCTGTGGTATTATTATAACGAACCTTAAGTGAAATGGGCTGCAGGATGCCTGTAGCTTTTAAAGGGGAGTAATTTGTGGACAACTTTATAATTCTTTTGGTTGTGATCTTAACATAAAAAGATATAAGCCATTAGGGACTTCCCTGATGGTCCAGTGGTTAAGACTACGTGCTTTCATTGCAGGGAGCACGAGTTCAATCCATGGTCAGGGAACTAAGGTCCCACATGCTGCGTTGTGGTGGCCAAAAAGTAAAATTAAATTTAAAAAATTAAGTCTTAAAAAAAAGCAACCATTAAAACATATATAGCGTTACAAGAAATTTTGCCAGATTGCACTGTGTAATAAGAACCATCTCTTTTCTGATTAAGTCTAAGTGGAAAAAACCATTATTCTTTGGGATTGAAATAATGACCTTTGCATGGTTTAATTTTATCACTTACATTGTAGAAATTTTAGTTAACTTTGAAAAACTTTGCCCTGTTAGAATCAGTGCCTCTCTCCTAACAGAGAACTTTTTGTGTACTTTATTCTTGAATCCTTACAGTGAGTACTTGTGAAGAAAATTTTGTATCTGACTATATTAGACTTAGATAATTTTTATAATCAGCTTTCTATTGTCCAGCTATTTCATTGGAATAAATAAGCTGTCATGGTGAGAGCACACAATCTGGAAGTAATGAAGCAGTGACAGTGCCACTGTTTATAAGTCATTTCATAGTTAACAAGTCCTTGACTTCCCTGCTGGCTCAAACGGTAAAGCATCTCCCTACAGTGTGGGAGACCCGGGTTCAAACCCTGGGGTGGGAAGATCTCCTGGAGAAGGAAATGGTAACCCACTCCAGTATTCTTGCCTGGAAAATCCCATGGATGGAGAAGCCTGGTAGGCTACAGTCCATGGGGTCGCCAAGAGTCAGATACGACTGAGCAACTTCACTTTACTTTTACAAGTGCTTGTGGGCTACCCACATGAAGATACATGGGGAAGGACCTTTGACCATGAAGCAGATACACACTGGCTTGATTTATTTTTAAAATCCAGGGGAAATTTCCAGTCCATTTTCAGGGAGCTTGGCTCTCTACTCCTGCATTTGCAGGGAAAAGCGTTTCCTTCAGTAAATTCCAGAGAGTGAAGAGATGGTGACGTTTGAGGCTTGGGTTTAGTCATTCTGTTTTATTAATAGATAACCAAGTTTTAGTGTGAATTATGCAGATTTTAAATGGTTTTTTCAGTTTGGTTTATTGTCGTTGTTGCCTGTTGAATTTTATCCATTTTTTATGATCACAGAATAATTGAAAAAATATGACTGCTGACATAAATAACTTGCCTAGTATTTCACCTGGAAGTTTTCTATATGATGAAGAAGCTCAGTTAAAATTTTTCCTTTTTTGATTCTTCAACATTTTCTAGTATTAAAAGCCTTAATAGTAGCCCCTTGGTTGTATGGTTTGTGGTGTTCTGTCTGAGGTAGGGGGAAAATGACTATGTCCTCTTTAAAAAAAATTTGTGGTAAAATATACAGAACATAGCATTTATTATTTTAACCATTTTTCAAGTTCAGTAGTAGTAAGTTCATTTACATTGTTGTACAGCAAACCTGCAGAACTCTTCATCTCGCAAAATTGAAACTCTGTACTTATTAAATATCAACTATTAATTTCCCTCGTCACCTTGCCCTTGGCAGTCACCATTCCA